GGCGAAAATCGGAAGCCTCAGGCTTCCGAACGGAAGTAGCTGTGCAACAGTGGAGAGCGATCAGACGGCGAGGTACAGCGTTTACAACCGTTGCACTCAGGATACCACCACTTGGGGACCTGGTGGCAGAGTGCAACGGTGTAAAGGGCTTTACAACGGTTAGGGACGGGAGGCAGATGTTCACCGTCTGAACGCCGGTAAGTACAACGATTGCAACCGGCACCTATACCGTTGTAAAGCCCCCGTCTGAACGCACCCAGTGAGTGATACCCCTGCAGGCCCCTCTCTGGAACTACAGCTCAAACCTTATGGGGGAACATTTTAAACAAACAACCAAAGATGGCAGCCGTCTTTCAAACACAGGTAACTGCCATTTCGTTACACTTACCAACAGCCACTGAGGGGAAAGTTAGTCCCACAGAGGAGGCAAGCAGGAGAAGGCTATTTGCCAATAATTCTGACAGCGCACAGTGGCTGAAGGGGGAGTGGGTGGGGAAGAGGAGCAAACCCAGCACCCAGCCAATGGCACACAAATACTCTTGAGTGGTGGCTGACGGGCCAACGGCTGAAGGAGTGCATTGGACAGCCAATGGGAGAGCTGGAAAGGGCCACTCCAAAGCACAATTATATATAAGGAGAGAAGATACCACAGTGTGAGTGTCTAATGTGGGATGTTTATATTTTGTATGCCGTGATGTAAGAATTGTAATGCATGCTCTACCTTCTCTTTTTTGTTCATTCATGTATGAGAGATAAATTTCTTTATTAAAAAGATACTTCATATTCCAAGCAGATTAATTAAAATGAAATAAATAAATAAATAAATGGAATAGGGTTGTAGCATAATGACATGGTTCAGGACAATGCTTTATTATGCAAGGAATAGGTTTGTTGTTTGTGCTAATGTTTATTGTATATTTTATCCTGCTCTTGCTTCATTGTCTTTGACTTTTGTAATTCCATTTTCTGCATTGTTTATGATATAATGTCTAATAAAGCATAGTTTTTGTAACTTTTTAAATCCTAGATCTATTGCATTGTTTATTGGATGACTTATGCTATCTGATTACATTGTTATATTTTGTGTGATCCACCTTGAATCTCAGCGAGAAAGGCAGGCTATAAATAAAGCAGATAACTAAAGTTCCTAAACAAGTTCTGGAATGGAGCATTGACAGCTGGCAATATTGAAATTTGAGAGTTCATTGGGATGAATATAAAGTATACTCAAGTAGTCAGAATAGCGTCAGGTACTAGTGCCCATAAGATATGCAGTTATACCAAATGCCAACGCATTTATGCAATATTTATCCTTGAGAGAGAAGTGGGTATCAGAGAGGAGATGTAGTGAGAAAAGCAGAAGTTTTTGTTGTCTATCCTAGTAGATCCTGAATTAGGAAGTTGGTTGGGGATATTCTCAAGCATCTGGGTAGCTGATAAGGCAAAAGGACCTAAGAACTATTCATACAGGAAAGTTCGGAGATATGAGACAGGGTAGGGGTGCAAGCAAATAATCCAGATAAAAATATGGGTAGGTCCACAGGACTGCTTACATGGAATTTGGCAGAGGTGGCAGGAGTAGCTGAAACCCATTGCTTGTGGCAGAGCAGAATGCTACAAGTCCTGGACACTGATGGAAAAGGACTCATTGTTGTTTCTATGTTAGAAGCTGAGAGAGAACAGGATACAAAAGATTTTGTTCTTTTTGGTTTGGAGTGGGGTGGAAAATGCAGGGTAGCTTAAATAAATGGTTCTTGATTCTCTGAAGGTGTGGCTGAGGGAGGTCTGGGCCCTTCCAAATAAGGGAAGTGAGGCAAGACTGGGCATGGAGGACATTTTTAGTTTTAGATAATATTTACAGCCCACTTCTATCCCTAATGGGGATCCAAAATGGCTTACAACAGTGTTCTCCCCTCCTCCATTTTACCCAAGAAGCTTGTGGGAAAGATTAGGTTTATGGGCTGAAGGTCATCCAGTGAGTTTTCATAGTAGAGTGGGGAATCGATCCTTGGTCTCCCAGCTAATAGTATGACACTCTAACTACAGTTTTGGTTACTTCACTGCAATATGGGATGACCAATAAAGGACTGTCTGAGTCAAAAATGTCATTATCAAATAGTGCAATCCTTTGCAGATTTATGTCAGTCTAAGCCCATCGAAATCAAGAAATCTTAAATCCACGTAGAATTGACTACAATGCTGAGGTCATTGAAATGTATTTATTTATTAGATTTGTATCCTGCTCCTTGATCTGCCAAGCAGGGCTCAGGGCAGCTGTCATTATTAGGGAGGAATATGATTATGATATGAACACTTTAGTTGATTGCTAAAATACTTTGAGTAGTGGTCTAAAAAGGTCTTAGCATTTAAGTGGGATTGCTTTTCTGTGTGAGCTTGTTTTAGTGTTCTGATACAATCAGAAAGAGCCGACTGCATTTATGCCTTGTCTCTTCTGACTTTTGTCCTTTGTGTGGCTATGTGAGTGGCAGAAGTGACATGGTCATGAAACTTAAGACGGAGAGGGGAACAGAGAAAGCCCAACAAAAAGAAGACTTGATGGTAGCAATCTGCTCATGCAGCATGAGCTACTTATTTCAGGAAATTACTTGTAAACACGTGAAGCTAGTCTAGCAGCTGCCCCCAGAGCACAAGCTAAGCACATAGGGTATAAGCATTTAAAATAAATGTCTATCCATTTTTACATTCCTTAAGATTTAACTCTTTGCTTTTGATGATCATGTTTCAGGACTTTTTGTGTCTTTCTCTCCTGGAACTAATGAAAGTGACTGGGCAGAGCTACCAGACTGTGCAGAAGCTTCTTCACACTGTCAGTCAGTCCTGTGCCCCCAGAATGCAAACTGTAAGTATCAATTTGCAAAACAGGACAGGAATGAAGCTAGTTTTTTATTGTGTGTATTGCCTGCCCTGTTGGCATACGTGGACAACATGCAGCCAAACGTTTCGCTCAGCTGTCCACTGAGCATCAGTTGTGTTCCAACTTTTATACTCTTGGTTCTCCTCACAGTTTTACATCATCCGTGGCATAAGTATTCTGATTTTCTTTGTCTCTATTATCCATTAATCTTACTTTTGACAAACAAGATGTTTCTGGCTTTCTTTCAACTTTTATAGTCCTTTCATCCACAGGTGTCCTGTCAGAATCTCATTAAAAGTGAAATATGGTACACTTTGTCAGGTTCTGTAGTCAGATCACACCACACAACGCTTCATAAGAAGTATTCTGTTTATTGGTAGTTCATAACTATGACACTTGAATGGTTTTTGTCAGGAATGGCCCAGAGCAGCAGGCCCCCCAAAGTTATAGTAGTTTCAAAGCACCCCCATTGCAAGCCTAAGCCAATAAGTTATGAGTGAATTGCTAGCCCCAGTGACAGAAATGAAGGCAGAAGTGTTGCTGAGCGATATGGATGTGGTTTATCGATCATATTCAGGCTACATAAAGAAAAATAATCTGCCTGGGGAAATTGTTATAAGATTCTTGAGAAGGCATGTGAGGGATGCAATCCTGAAAGCGGTTTCTGGAGTACCACTGAAAGTGGGGGGAAATACTATCAGAACGCTAAAGGATATTCCATTTGAAGCAAGACAACGGAGAAAGAAGTACTTGTCCTTCAGACAAACTCAATTGGATATAAATGGCTATTTCCAGAAGACATTACTTTCAAGTTTAAGGATAAAAAAGAAAAGTTCTGTTCTGAAAGCCCAAGAATTTCCAAGGGTTCAGCTGGGAAGACCAGAGGACGGGAAAAAAGAAGAGGACAGCAAGTCTAGTGGCGAGCTGGACTCGGGTTCTTCCGGAGAGAACTCTCTGACGGAGCAAGGGGCAGCTGCCCCCAAAAGTCCTTATAAGCTGCGGAAGAGACAAGGAAAAGAGAAGTAAAGGCTGAAAGACTCTGAATTGTGCCTTTGAGAACTGTGAATGGGGATGACTGGGGGGTACTGTTCTTAGACAGTTAAGTTTTAAGAGTTAATGAAAAGGAAAAAGTACTTAAATGTCTGACTCAGTTTATATTGATCTAAATGAAATGAAGACTTGATGTAATGAAGCTAGTGAGGATCTCCTCTCTTGGGTTTTTAGTCAGTAGTGGGTTTCTATACTTTGTCCCGTATATGTAGTCCCCCTTCCCTTTTTCTGTGATAGTTTTTGTAGTTTGGAATTTTTTTTAAAAAAATCCCCTTTGGGGACTCAAAAAAAAGAAGAAGAAAGCATTGTGCATGATCCCGCGCGTGAGAGAAAAGTGAGCGGGAGAAAGTGAGCCGTTTGTTCCCAGCAGGTCAGGAGCAGCTTGAAGCCCAAGGTCAAAAAAGTCATACACAGATAACAACCCAGACAGGAGACATCGTTAGTGTACCAGGAGGGAGGATCACTCCCCACACATTCCAAAGACATAGCAGTGTTAACTGACACACTTCTGGATAACAGTAGCTCTGCTGGCTGTTTTCCCAGTTTTTCCATCTCTTAAAAACGTACTGGCTTAAATTCATAAGCAAAAATTAACTTTCTCTGCTATTAACAGAGTATTTTCTATTACCACATGATCTACAAATGTTTGTTTATACTTGGTTATACCTGTTTATATTTGTTTATAAAATATTCAAACATAATATACATATTAGAGTTTAATAATTCCACTTTAGAAAAATCAAACTCCTTACTTCTAATGGCCTCTAGAGAGCCCTCTTATATAGAAAACATAAATTCTGCTACACTAATTAAAACTAGATTGTCAAAAAGCCTTATGATTTATTCCTCCTTAAAATACTTTTGCTTGATAAAGATATTTCTAATAATGAAATCTGCTCATTAATTCCTGTTGGAAACGTCTCCGCTATTTTTCAATCTTGCATATAATTGGTTAAAGATAATCTTTGCTTGTTAAAATAATGCTTAGCAGTTTAATTTTAAATCCTTGTTTCACAGCTATGCATCAATAAATCTTTCATTGTCTTTGGCTAATAAGCAAGTATTCTTATTAGAAATATGAGTTTTGCTTTAGTAAAGAATTTAGCTAGCTTTCTTTTCCACAAACATTTAGAAATATAAAAGATCCATACAATCTCTAAACAATAGTTATTCTCAGCTATAAACAAAATATTAAAAGTTGTATTTAACTTTTGGAAACAATCAACAAAAATAGAAACAGGTTTGCTAAACTTAAATCTCTGTTGCAGAGAGTTGCAGTTGTATCTCTGCTTAATAAATTTTACCAGCCCCATCTTGACATCTCGTTAAAAATAAAGCATCTCTTCAGCTACTTATCAAATTCCTTTACTGGGCTTCTTGCCAGCTCATTAAGTGTGATAGAAACCAGACCTGTTATACCTTTTTGCTAACTTTTTCGGGGAGCTCCAAGTGCTTTCCCCCCAAAATATTGACTTCCATGGAACAAATAATCAATGGACTTATCATTCAAACCTCTGCGCTGCAAACTATGATGCTGCTATGGTATTTCAAGATGATCTCCATATGTTTCAGAAGAGATGTTGGTGTAAATGTCTTGATGTTGTTAATTTCATTGTAGTAATGTCTGTAAAAATTTCTGAAGGGAGGTTAGCTGTATCAACCTTTTGAATTGGTTTTTGTGTATATTCATATTTTATATTGAATTTTTGAAAACAGTAATTAAAATAATAGGAATATTATAATGTGTAACTAGTTGGGCTTGATATTTCACCAGAATTGTCAAAAGGCCCATAGCCACATGTAGAAGGGTTTTTTTCCAAGAAGGCAGTCTTCTTTTTTAAAAAAGGTGACTATGGATGTGTCCATAGAAGAATTAAACTTCTTTCTTTTAGTGCTTTGCAGGGGCTAGGCACATATGGTCATATTTTCTATCCCCTTTAAATGGAAGGGATGTTGCTGGCTAATTGTCTGTGTATGGAAAGATAGGTATTTGCATTTTGTAGGAGTTGTTTTCTTGAGCGCTGGGGAAGATAAGTGCTCAGCCTATGAATAAAAAAGCACAAAACAAAATTCTGCAGACCATTCCAAATGTCAAGGATAACTGGGGGGGGGGGGGGGAATCAGATGTGTCAGTCACTGATGTCTTTGGAGCCAGCCAATAAGGTGTGGCAGATTTTTCAGCTTGGAGAATGTGATTGTATGTTTAAACTCTATGAAGATGTAGTAAACTCTATGAGGATGTTAGGTGGATCTGTAACTGGTTGACAGATCACACCCAAAGAGTGCTTGTGAATGGTTCCTCATCTTCTTGGAGAGGAGTGACAAGTGGAGTGCCTCAAGGATCTGTCTTGGGACCTGTTTTGTTCAACATCTTTATCATTTATTTGGATGAAGGAATAGAGGGAATGCTTATTAAATTTGCAGATGATACTAAATTGGGAGGGGTAGCAAATACGGCAGAAGACAGAGTCAGGATACAAGATGATCTTAACAGGCTGGTAAACTGAGCTAAAACAAATAAAATTAATTTCATTGGGGATGAATGTAAAGATCTTCAACGTCGTCTCTGTGCTTCACACCCATGGGATACAGTGCGCATGTGCTGGATCGATCGGCATTGTAGCAAGCTCTTAACGGATTTTCACGCCCAGACCTCGGGCATGCGCAGGAACCCCACCACGCATGCCCAGAGGGGTGGGCGCGGACATCCCGCCAGTTCCTTTCTTTCCACCACGCTGGAAGCACCTTCCTTTCGTCAACAGCGTTACCAATATGCAGCCCTCCCATTCGGCCTTTCAAGTGCACCAAGAGTCTTCACAAAGACTATGGTAGTTGTTGCGGCCTTCCTCCATCTCAAGGGTATCTCTATATACCCATACATCGACGATTGGCTCTTGGTGGCGACCTCCAAAGACACTCTAGTCTCAAACATCAACGAGACGTTGGTCCTCCTCGAAAACCTAGGTCTACAAGTAAATCTAGAAAAGTCTCAACTTCAACCGGTCCAGAAGATACACTACATCGGTGTGCTACTGGACTCCACGAATTGCATGGCTTACTTGCCACAAAACAGAGCGGCCGACATCGTCCACCTAGCCACTGTCATCCGTTCCTGGCCTTCAGTGATGGCCTTTCAAATACAAAAGCTACTCGGCCTTATGGCTGCTACTACGTCAGCCCTGGTCTTTGCCAAATTAAAAATGCGTCACCTACAACTATGGTTTGTCCGCAATTTCAATCCAATAGAGGACACACACCCCACCCTCCTGATCCCACCTGCCAAAGTACGAGAGTGTTTACTTTGGTGGACTGTCCCTTCCAATCTGTTCCAGGGAGCACCCTTCCATCATCCATCACCCCAAATGACCCTAACAACAGATGGATACCCCTCGGGCTGGGGCGCCCACATGATGGGACTTTGTGTCGGAGGCAGATGGGACACTCAAAAACGAAAGCGGCACATAAACTTCCTGGAACTGCTTGCGACACAGTTCACTGTCACCAGTTTCCTGCCCCTGATCAAGGGGAAATGTGTCATGGTCCTCACGGACAATACTACTGCCCTCAGCTTTGTGAACAAGCAAGGGGGCACCATTTCACAACATCTCGCCCTCCAGTTATGGGACTTCTGCATCGCCCACAACGCCTTCCTAGTCACCACGCACATCCCAGGGCACATGAATGTACAAGCAGACCACCTGAGTCGGGCAGGACTCAGTCTCCATGAGTGGGAAATGAATCCAACCTTCCTTCTTCCACTCTTCTGCAGGTGGGGGTTCCCCCAGATAGGTACTTGTCTTTTTTGCCAGACGGCGTCTGCCGCGTACCTGACATCTCGTTCCTGCCAAAGGTAGTGTCAGAATTTCACCTACAGGCAGAGGTCTTCCTCCCGGATTTCTTCCCTGCGCCGACATCCTCAGAGGAGAGGCTGTTACACACCTTGGATACGAAATGTGCGCTTCTGTTCTACCTAAACAGAACCCGTCCAACGAGACATGACTCTCAACTTTTTGTCTCCTATGCGCCAGCAAGGCTGGGAACTCGCATCATGGCTCAACGCCTATCAAGGTGGATTGCAGGGCTCATCCACCTCTGCTACCTTATTGCCAAGCAGCCATTGCCTGGCCCTATCAGGGCTCATTCAACCAGAGCTGTTGCAGCCTCAACTGCCTTCCTCCAGGGAGTTCCCCTGATGGACATTTGCAAAGCCGCTACGTGGGCTACGCTTAACAACCGTGTGACACGGTTGTTAAAAAGGCAGATGCGGTTTTGGGCTGTATCAACAGAAGTATAGTGTCCAGATCACGCAAAGTGATGGTACCAGTGACTCTTGTCTTCTCATAATGTGACAAAAGTACAAGACCCTCAGTTTAGTCATTTTTGCTTCTTGGGGGAGTTCAGGCTTGATTTGATCTAGAATCCACTTATTTGTCTTTTTGGCAGTCCACTGTTTCTGTAAACTCTCCTCGAACACCACATTTCAAATGACAGTGACCCTATGCTTATGAAATCTATCTTTTGTGTTTAAAAAACGATTTACTTAGTAGGATGAAATGTTTTTGGTTTAATTAAGCTGTGCTTGCATATCCCTTCACAGGCTCATATATTTATGTTGAGCTTCAGTCCAAATTAGTTAGCACATCAGAGATCTGCATGCCTTATTATTGTAGTGCTTTGCATAAGTTTTGAAACTTTATATTTGGATTTTAATGCAATGTGCTCCCCTCCCCATATTATCAGTCAGGCAAACTGAGCATCTTGCGATAACAGAGAAAGTTTGCAAAATAACTTTTACTGGTTGATAGGCTGGTTCTAGAGCTTGGGCCCCTAAAAAGCCACTCCTGAGGATAGGGGGTCCTTGGGAATTACGTGAGATGTGGCCCAAGGGGCTGCAGTCTGAAGGGAAAATCAACAAAAGCTGTAACCCTCCCAGTTCTTTTGACACTCATGCAAGTGGGATCTGAACATTTCTCTGCTGATTCCATATTTCTGGCTGCAGCAGCTCCTCAAACCATATCCCACAACATTCCACAGAGTCCCCAAACTCTCAGGATTGGCTTTTCAGGTGGTATTGGGGAGGTTTCAGTGGAAGGTGGTTAAAATCCTTTCTGAAAACTTCTTCCTGTTGTGGTATCAAAAGACACAACATAAAGATGGGAAGAGACATTAAATGATGAAAAATAAATTAAGTATCTTAAGTGTCTATGTGGTTTTTTAGGTGCTTTGTCTTTTTTGGAAGCAGATACCAGACATGCTTCTTAATAGCTGACTGCAACATCTTTTATTAATTAATCTTGGTTTTGGGTAGGTTTATGAAATGAAAATGAAAAGAGCCATTGATCCAACATCAGCGTTCTTGCCCACAACACTAGAAGATCTGGATAAAATCTTGCACGGTGGAATTGCCTGTGGATCTCTTACAGAGGTAAAAGTACTGCAAAATGTGTCTGCCTTTGTTTATATAAAAGAGCACAACTTTTTGTGCTTTACATGCTTTCAAATGCAAAGCACTGAATTCTTTTAGTAAAATTGATGTATTTTGGATCCAGTTGATTGTTAAAATAATTTGTACTGCATTCTTGCTCTGAAGCCATGTTTTGAGCTGATGGATCAAAAGATTGCCCCCTTTTTTTGTCCTACCATGACCTTTATGAAATTTTACCCACAGAAGGTAGGTAAAAAACTTATTCACACTTTCTTTTCCTATAGTGTTTCCTTTTCTCACAGTGGAACCTTAGGCAAAAAGTTTACTACTATAGCTGTATTTGTACTTCCTTGTTGTACAGGAGATTCTAGAAGGTATGAATGTTGCATTTTCTGAGGCTCTTTTGTCAGGTCCTTGTTATTAATCTGGGAATTGCAGCTTTCATTAAAAAAGTAAAGAAATCTAGCTGTCTTGATTGCATGTAAAAGACCTTTAAATG